CCAGCCTTGCCTCGTTTGCCGTCGCTCTCCCCGAATCCCAAGTCGCCCTCGGTCGCCCAGCCGTCGCGGCTCCGGATACCTGGGAGTATGTGGACTGTGGTTCGTGATAAGCCGTTCAGACCCACTCCCGGAGGCTCACCTAGCTCCTGTAGGAGACCCCGCGGACTCTGTTGAGATTCAGTCCATCACAGTCTCGCCTGACCCACCGAAGATTGGCGAGGATCTGACCGTCACCATTGTCGCCAATGTGAAGGAGACGATTGAGGTGCGTTCTGTCGGCTGGCGTTGGCGCTGGTGCTCAGACCTTGTCCTAGGAGGGTGCGACCGCGGACGTTTTGGTCAAAGTCGGCCGTATCAAGCTCCTCGAGCGGACTTTTGACCTCTGCGAAGAAGCGTGCGTGATGCGCCCCTCCATTCTTCACCCGAGCTCATGTCCTCCCAGCCGCAATGCGAATGCTTCCGTCTCTTGCCCCGTCGAGCCTGGTCTTCACACCATTGAGCAAACCGTCGCCCTACCGAAGGAGGTTCCCAAGCGTGCGTTGCTCTGCGTTTACCTGGTCCATGGCTAACACGGCTGTGCAGTGAAATATGTCATCAGTGTCCGTGGCTTCACCGTCGAGGAGGAAAGCATGGCGTGCGTCGACCTGACGGTTCAGTTCCGTCCGTTCTTCCAGTTCTGGGAGTAGTGAAACGAGTGGGGGCATTTTCAATCATGGACAATTTTACGAGATTTTTTACACGTCCGTCTCACCATCCCTTCATATGTAGCTTAGCCCTTGCAATCCTGGGATCTCTAACAATGTGACTCATTTTCCTATCGCGAATACAGAGAAAAGCAAGCCACGAACTGTCCTTGGAGTGCTATCTCACCACCCGTTAACCCTGCAGCTTCTTTGGCATGAAATTTGCAAAGAGGTTGAGGCAGAGCATGTCCTCATCGTCGACGCTGAATGCTCTGACAGAGACGGTAAACTTGGCTGCCAAAGATTCAGCTGCTAGAACTTTGAGATGCCCGCCGAATTCGACGCACCTGGGGGAATCTCCTTGGGCAGCTTCACGGTTTGCGTCACCTCGTAGTCGCCCTCTTCAACTGGGCACGTTACGGACGCGTTGGCCTTTGTTCTGCGGTCGTCTAGCTACGAGTTTGCAAGCAAACGACGGCGGGCGACGTACGCTTCTTCGCAAATATCAAAAGTCTTCTGGAGCAACTTGATAAGCCCGAGTTTTACGACGACGTCGGCAGTTGCGCCCTCCTTGGGATCTCGCGCATTAGCAAGCTCAGACTGAATATCACGGCGAGCGAGCCCACCTCGATGCGCCGCGTAGCCTTCCCTTTCGCGTTGATGGTCAGCTCTTCGCCTGGCACGGGCGGGTCCGGCGAGATCTCTAGGGACTCGAGCTGGACGATGTCCGACGGGAGTCCTACATGCAATTAGTTGAGAGCGGAGGCTGGAAGGAAGGGTACTGACCGCAATCGTTAAAGGACCATTCTGCGGTGGTATGCACGTCGCCTGCATTCTGAATGAAGCGTTGCGACGACGACTCGGCGGCGACCCAGTACTGGAATTTAGATTCTGCGACGGCGAGCCCGAGCGAGGCCAGGAGGAGAATCGAGGGTCGCATCGAGGGAGGGAAGCGAAGAAGGGCCACGTAGGCTGGGCTGCCTTCCTTAAGTATACTCGGCCGAGCGTACCATGACGCAACTTTACGTTTTGCCTCGCGGATTATAGGCGCCCATCGTGCATCTGGACGTTTAATTAATGGGCTGTAGTAAATGTTAAGCGCAGAGTCTGAAGGCTTGAGGAGACTCTTCTTGCGGTCTGCGACGGGTTTGTTCAAGTCTAAGTTGACGGCCCGGGACAGGGAAGAGCGGGGTTTGAACTAGATCCTGCAAGTGAATCTCCGGGAAGGCGAGAGCTCGAACTCGAGCATACTACTGAGGCTCTGCTCAATGAATTGGTTGCCAGTGGAGGTTTGTTGTCAAGTTGGTTCAACAGACGCATGAGTCCTTTTGCCTGGTTAGCTTAGCTTCTGTAAATCTTTGCGATAAGTTACGGCGAGAGCTATTTGAACCTTGGGAGGATTTGTCACAGAGCTCGTGATTGGACGTCTCTTGACGAGAACACTCATCTGACTAGCTCAGCAGCAGGCCTGCTCGTCAGAAGGGCAACCTCTTATTGGCGCAGCGTCCGCTCGATGATGTCTGTGCCCTGGTCAACTGATGAGTCGCTGCATCGCGACCGGCGGTAGTGGATTGCAAGCTACGCGCTCTTTTCTCTGCGTCCTTCAAGTTGCTGAAATGCCCGGGATAAGTAATCGAGCTTTCATCAACGTTCCTCATTTGGCTTTCATTCTATGAAATATCAATTTTTCCCGGAAGAAACGAAGGCTTTACTGGCAACTTGACATACCGCCGGAGCCTGACTCTGATCACCTGAGTTGCTGCGACGATAAATAGGGCCCCAAGGCAATCCGATGACGCTACGATGCTCCCCATGAAGCTACTACTCATCCTGTCCTCCCTTGCCTTCGCTCTGGCTCGCGATCTTCGTCCCCGTGCTAATGGTCTAGCACCCACCGTCGACCCTACCAACCTAGCCATCAATCCAGCAGGTGGAGGCACCTACCCGCGCCTGACGCATCTTGCGGATGGGAGCGTCTTGGGATCCCTCACCACGTTCAGCGGCGCGACTCATATTTTGACTGTGACGCGCTCGACGGATGGTGCACGGACGTTCACGGCGTGGGGCACGGTATCGACTGGCACGGGCGATCTGGACAATCTTTTCCTGAAACAGCTGGCGAATGGCGATGTCCTTGCAACGTTCCGGAATCACGATAAGAATTCGGCCGGCGCATACACGTTCTATCGGGTATGTATGGGGCTCATTGCAAGGGTAGTGCTTACAGGGCCAGATCACGGCTTGCATCTCGCACGACAATGGGAAGACGTGGGCTTTCTTGTCCCAGGTTGATCAGCGGACACCAACAGCAGCTAACAACGGTCTCTGGGTGCGTCGCGCTTGATTTTATCTTACCCGCCACTTCATGCTATTCGATCTAGGAACCTTTTGTTCGGATTGCCAAGAGCGGCGCGATCCAAGGTGGGGTTTTCAATCACTGTCTGGAAGAAATTCGCCGACGCATGTAGTGTACTATGCGGCCGAGAACAGCGCTGCAGACCAAGATATCCTTATGCGTTCCTCGACCAACAATGGGTTGACCTGGTCTGCTGCTACGACTGTTGCGGGTATGATGCCGATTACACTTTGGCTTGACTGATCTCCATACCAGGCGCCACAACGACGGGACGCGACGGAATGCCAGGATGCGCCGACTTTACCACTTCGAGCGGCTCTGCACGGGTATTGTGCATCTTCGAGACCACAGAAGGCACCGCACCGCTTTTCACTGTGAAATCGGTGGTCAGCACAAACGACGGAGTATCTTTTGCCGAGCGTGCCCAGGTCTACGTGCCCACCGGCTCCGGACATAACGCTGGGGCGCCTCAAGTCGTCACGACCAGCGCAGGCATTTTGGTCGCGTCGTTTATGACTGACGAGGAGCATACCGGCGCCAGTGTCTGGCCACAGGGAGCGTCGATGAAGATCCTCACTTCTCTCTCCTCCGATCCTGCCGTCTGGGGTCAGAAGACAACTGTGTTGCCGATTTCTTCTCTGTGGCCTGGCTTGTATAGCCGTGTCGATGGGACGGCGACCGTTGTTGGGTGTGCGGACAACGGTGGCGCGAGGTGTCGATCAATTTCGTTTGCGTAGAATCGAACTAGAAGGAAGAGGAAACGGAAGGATGTTACAGCTGTTTGCAGAACTCGGGGTGTGACTCAATGTTTACAGCCCTTTCAGAATTAGGCAGTATACCCGGAATCGTGATTTCAGATCCCTAGGCACAGTGTCTCCTTATTCAGATAGCTCTGTCTTCTTCTGAAAATTCTGAATTGACCCTCCCTGTCATCTTCATCATCACCATACAAAGCGACCCACTCTGTTATTCTGCCTCTGCGTCCTGCACCTATTGTATCTCAGATCTAGTTTCCCTTTTCAAGTTGAGTACATGCAAGTGGGGCAATTCCTTTGCAATGATAGTCAGACTAAGTAGTATGCTCTCACTGGCAGACATTGTCAACCCCCTCAAGATCCAGAATACTGTAGTGTTTAGACCAAGTGTTCGGCGGGTGTCATGCGTCACCGCAAGTGTTCGTTTGGGTAGGTGTTCAAATTACCATATATGGCAATTTGACGGTGGCTGAGCCGAAATTTTGATCATATTCTGCCATTTTAGGACAGAAAATGGCTCAAATTCTCGACCGTCACCGTCACTAGCACCAAAAGTGTTCAGTTCAAGGGCCAATGTCACCCGTCACTCGAACACTTGGTCTAAACACTACAGTAGCACCTTCTTTCACTGCTACCAACACGAATAGCATCCTAACCACTTACATGGGACTCATAATGGCTTCAATTAGATGTACCAAACACTAGAATAAGCGTAGAAATTGATAGATTTCACGTGTACTGTATCCCAGTAGACGGCTTATCACCGTGTCGTGACATCCCCCCCTTTGAGGCAAGGTCCTCAACACATGCACGGTGTCGGACTCCAACCAGCCGGGTTCTGGGATCTACCCGTCGGCTTCTTTTTTTTTTGGTTGCACATACTTAGTGGTTCACCGTCCGGCTGATTTAAGTGATTAAGTACCCTCCATCTCCGTGGGGTTAGGATTTCTTTTGCAGCCCTTGGATGTGTGTTGTAGAATTTGTCCAGTGCATCTTCCACCCTGTCCAAAGCCTTGCGGGGTTCCCAAGTCCACTCTTCCTGCGGGTATCCATTTCACTTGATGTAGTATTACAGCGTACGTCCAGCCCCCACTCCCTGGATTTCGTCAACTTCATAGTGTATTTTCCCGTCAATAATCTCTATGGGAGAGCTGTAAAGACTGTATTTGGGCACAGTATATGATCGATAGAGAGTGGTTGAGTACTGGGTGCTTGGCGCAATGGCTAGCGTGTTTGGCTTCGATGCCTCACGTCCCGAACACGTGATTTCCTACCAAAAGGTTGCAGGTTCGAGTCCTGCAGCGCTCAGTCTTTTTGGCGCTTAGCGGACACCACAGGTGGATAGGGCAGCCGAAATCCTGAAGAACGAACCCGCTTACAGCCCGAACGGATAAGAATTGAGCTCACAATTGCGCGAGGAAAGTGATAAGTCGCAGAAAATTGATGATGACGTAATGACTTATCGATCACGAAGCTGTGCTGTACCTCCTAGCATTTTTTGGATGGCTGGAGGCCGAGATACGTACGCAGCGTTGCAGCTCTGAGCTTGATGGATCAGTAACCTTCGTCCGTCGTCAGTTTTTGACCAATCTCTTAGGTTTCTTTTTCGGATTGTAGTCTGTTATCATACAAATGGATCCCGCAAAAAAAAACCGGGGCGATAACTTGAAGGGGGCGGCGAGAATCCATATCATCCGGGTCGGAGTCATTCATCGGGATTAGTAGACCCCAATGTTTTTTTGCTCAAACTCAATCAGAATCTAACAGATCTGGCTTCCAATCCGTGTAAGTTAATACATGGAGCAAAATACACTTGCGACATGAGGCAAAGCCTCCCGTGCCTCCTTCAAAAAACCGTCCTGTGCCGCCCTCAGTTCCGATAACGACAGTTTCCGAGTCTGCCTTGAATACCAGCGTCCAGCTGTAGTCTGGATGCGAAGGGTGAAGCTTACTCGTGTCAGATCAGGCAGCGCGGCAAGCCATGTCAAGAGCCTCCGCGCATCAACGATAGACTGGAACCACATATCCACACTGCACACGTGTTGCATCCGTCCAGCAATGTCCATGGCCAAAGGGTCGTCCACCCAATTGAGCGCAGAGCATCGCTTTCTGTACCGCTCCTTGTCCCAGAGTTTGAACTGGTGCCATGAACGAGTCAAAACTAGGTTCAGGGTAACTGGATTGGTTGACGTCCGTGCGGCTATACAGTTGAGGTCATGAAGAAGGCGGTTTGCCTGGACTGGTAGGATGAAGGACTCGAGGCTGAACTTGAATGCTTCGATGTTGGGGCTGGAGGCGAGCCCTGCGACGATAGAGCGGGGTTGTTGGTCCCATGGTGCAATACGTGTTTGGAGATGAGTGAGGCTAGGATGTGCTAGCGGTGGTTCCACAAGCGGCAGAATTGTAGTGTTCGAGCTATGTCCCTTCTCTAAGCAGACATACTGGAGTTGATGCAGGTTTGGACTGCACATAAGGAAGCGTCGAAGCAGGGCGGGATCAGAGGGCCGGTGCGTAAAGAGGTACAGATACGTCAGATTTGGGAGCTGCGCGTACGCTAGCATGGCCTCGAGGCAGGTTATACGTGCGGGGGTGGGCGGGCAGTTGATAGTGAGCGAGGTAATGAAGGATGCGTCGAAAGTTACGAAGCTACCAGAAGGGGATCCGGTCAGCTGTACCTCGATGGAACTAAGCTGGCGGAGGGCAGGAACCCTCTCCGTGGTTCCGTCGTGCAGCCGCGTCGGCGTAAGAAACGGCGCTGGCCGTATCTCCGTTTCGTCTTCATCAGCAGCAGTGCCGCGAGCACCGAGCCATGACCGGCTATTGGCTGTAGGTGCGTTGAATCGGTAGTGCGGTAGACTCCAATCTGAGATGTCTCCCGCTCTACAGCTGAACGTGCTGAACCGTGTGCATACGAAGACAGGTGTTGGCCCGACCCGCTCTGTCAAGCCCGAGACAACGGAGCAGAGCATCGGGAGAGCGATTTTGCGCTTCCTGAATGGTATTTTGAACAGGTCGCTGTTGAACGACACAGAGAGGAACTTCAACTCCGGGGAGCGGAGGACGACGTTGTCGAGACATGCGATGAATCTGCATGCTTGTTGGGCGTCGAGTTCAACGCAAATGAGTTCGTGCATCGGGAGGGCTGTACAAGGGGAGTAGAGCGAGAGCGCGACAAGTGAGTCCGCTACAAGATGCACGCACTCTCCGTTGAGTAGATCATCGAGAGAGACGCCAAGTTGTGTGAAGTGGATGCGGATGCAGCGTTCGTTGAACGCCCGGCAGACGGTGGCAAGGGATAAGAGCATCTCGTTGCATGGATGGAGATTGAAGATGATATCCCAGAGCTCGGCGGGGAGGACATCCAGGGCAGACGACATGGCGGTTGCCAGCGATGATTACTGTAGCGTGACGGACTTTCTTTCCGCCACGACCAGCAACGACAAGGCACTCATACAACGGCCAGGACTGTCCAAGCTCAAAACATGCTTCTCGCCTTCGAAGAAACCTCGCCCTCAGCGTTATTTAAACGCCTGCACTTGAGCTAACAGAGCCCGGACATCGATGCTCTGCTTCGTTGTCGCTTCCGCTGGGCTGCTCATCTGGCACTGGCGCCCAAGACGACATGACCTCGTCGTGCTGCTCAGGGGCCCCAAATCGCCGTCCTTTGTCTTCGGTGAGCACAACGCTACAGCCCTTATTCGCTTTCTCTGATCTTCCAGGGAACATGCTGGAGCTTCAAGCAGCGGACGAGTACGGCCAGAAAGAGTACCAATGGCTGGAGGAATTCGGAGCGGTTTACCCGATTAAAGGATGTCTTGGGGTGCGTCGCCTGCTTGCATACCCTGCCCAGTCGTTCTCAACCTCACACAAGCAAACACGCCTCATGATATCCGACCCCGAAGCTATGAGATTCGTCCTTAACAGCCCCAACATCGGCTGGGCGTCCACACAGCAAAAGGCAGCCAAGATGCTCTTAGGTTACGACAGTCTCTTACTCGCCCGTGGTCTGTTCCAGCCCACGATCCTGCGACTTTGCTGACGCATTCAAAGGCCAGCGGCACAACTATCTTCGACGAATCATGAATCCCTGGTTTTCGCCTCGTAGCGTCCGCTCGATGCTCCCTATCGCAAAAGGTGCTCTCAGTGACCTCAGCAGTCACTTGAATATTCACGTCTTTTTTTCAAACAACTCATTGATCACTGGGAAGCAGAAGCTTTCGTCGGGCGGATTGACATTTCCCATACCTTGCATCTTGCAGCAATGGATATACTCGGCGAAGGTTTGTGCTTCTCGTACCCAAACGCGTCATTCATTCATCTCGATACCACCACAGCGCTTCCTCAATCTCAAAGCCGCCGTCCTGCATGCGCTCGTGGAGCGCCCAGATGTCGTCCCTGCGCATTCCCAGCTTACCCTCGTTTATGGAGTGATGGAGTCTGAGAACCGAGAGTCGGTGGAGGTACTGGCTGAAGTGGCTGCGCGGCGGCTGCCTGCGTCTGGCATACAGCTTGTAGTGGGTCGCGACGTGGCTTGTTGCAAAATGTACGCAAACAGCGATGCAGTATGGGTTTAGAATGAGAGTTATGGAGCCTGCGGAGGGTGCCTTTGATGTAGATTTAGAATAGACCACTTCCATCCGTCACGCTGTCATATCTCGTCTACTACTAGTACTTCCATGGTCCCTGCATTGGAACTGCTGCCCGCAGAGCTCTGGGACGCGATATTCGGCTTTGTTGCCGATGACGAGGAGCTATTGTCCCTCGCAGAAGTCTGCCAAGTGTTTAATGCGCGGTGCATTCGGCTCTATCTGATGCGCCGGGACACTTCTCTCGACGCGCTGCTCACAGAAACGCAGACGTCTGTGTCTTCAGACACGCTCATTGCGTTGGCGCTATACTCCCCTCTCGCACTCCTTCCCATCGAAGAGCTCACCTGCGAGCAACTCGGCGACTCACACAACCTACTCAGGCTGTTCGCATGTTTGGACAACATCATCCTCCGTTCGCCAAATCTACACGTCCTGTCCGCGTCATTCCACAACGACTTCTTCGCCATACCCCGCTCAACGCGCGAAATCGGACTGTCGAGGCTCTGCAGGACGCTAGCGCTCTTTGCATCCCACAATAGCAGTAACGACTCGGCGCCAGTGTGCATCCTGACTCCCCACACGATGTTCAGCTGCGCAGCTAAGGACATGGCCAACTGGAACCTAGGTAGCTTCCAATATAATCCACTCCCAACGACGACTCGTCGATGGTACTGGAATCGCACCATGAAGCAGCCTGAGCCCGAGCTGCGGCCACTGGCATATATCACCAAGACCCGCCTCTACGACGGGCGCATTGCGGACATTCCTACAATCTTGGGGCTGAGCTGTGTCGAAGCCCGACTCGTACCGTCATCCAACGAGCTTAGCCCCACCTCTCAATCTCCTTGGACCTGGTCAAGCAGCCTGGTCACTTTTGACCCGAGCAGCATCCGCTACATTTCTATCAGCCCGGACATCATTCAAACCGCCTCTCAACACTGCGTTGACAGCGTGCTGGCGCATGCCCGCCTCCCCGCCGTTTTCCATCTCTACCTGCAGACCACGGTCGACCCTGCTCGGCTCCGACGCTTCCTGGAGCACCATCCACGTCTTGGGCGAATCGAGTACAGCTCACGAGAGGGAACTATCTTTCCAGCACTACAACCCCTCGTAGATCCGCCGCTCGTACACCCTTCGCTTGAATACGTGAAGACAGACCTCCGTTCAGCGGAAAGCCATTCCCTCGTTGCGGGGCTTGTCGACAGTCCTAACATCAGGGCTTACGAGTTCGCCCTCGCTGCCTTTCCGACACCCGCTCAGACGGACCGCCTGTTCAGCGACTTGCGGTTCATCTCTACACGTTCGCTGCCGAACGCCACGCACCTGTACCTCGTCTTCACGGAACCCCCGCTGTACAAGCTCTGGCAGAAGGAGAGATACACTCGGAGTCGGGCCCGCCCCGCTGAGTGGGCAGACGACCCAATCGCACTAGAAATCGCACAAGGGCTAAACTGTCTGCGCACCGTGGACCTAACCTTCTCTTCTGTCGCGACGGCACGCAGGCTGCTGGGGTGGTTAGGCGCGCTACCGAGGGTTGAGCAGATTACGTTCAAACTCTCCCTTAGATACTCTCGTGGACGTTCAAAGGTGAAGCAGCTGTCACAGCAGGAGATTCGATTTGCTCATAATGAGTTTCTGCGGGAGGCACTTGAAGCTTTGCCTCATGTACCGAGTGTCGTTTGTTCTGCGAACTAGAAATGTGCTATTGGAGGAGTACTT